CCGCAGCCGTCATGTGATCAACAGTTTTTCAAGCAGGTTAAAAAGTGCTCTGGGCGTCATCTTCTGCTCTCTGATCGGGATAAGCGCCGTATTTGAGAGAAGCATCAAATTCTCCAATGTCGTGCCGGGAAATAAAGTCAACTTTGAAGCTTAACGTCTCAGAGGAAACTGTTCGGCGTGTCTTGAAGAAGTCTGAGTTCATTCTCAGGAGGAAAATGAGGAAGGCACCGTTTCTGACAGAAATGCATCGTGAAAAGCGAATCGACTTTGCTAGGAGATGTTGCCGAACCGATTGAAGTAAGGTTAGCTTATGGCAGCGGTGCCCTACTGCTTGTCTGTCTTGCCTTTTCAGTTTTTTTTCTTCAGGTCGTGTTTGCTGATGAGAAAAATTTCAACTGCGACGGTCCAGACGGAAATCGGTCCTACTGGCACGATCTTAGGAAAGAGAAGCTTCATTTTTCCAGGCGGAACTTCAGAGGAGGTGGTATTATGGTCTGGGCTGCCATCACTCCAACGGGACGTCTAAAGTTGTGTTTCGTTTCGAAGAAAATGAAGTCTCCCGATTATCTGAATGTCATGCGAGGTCTCCTCCCTTCGTGGCGTAGAAATCGGAAAAAGTCCTCGTTTTCGTGCATGATAGTGCACCAATTCATACCAGTCGAAGCACTCGAGAGTGGTTCAGTCGTCATCAAATCGCTCTTTTGCCCTGGCCAGCACATAGCCCCGACAAACCCAATCGAGAATGTGTGGGGCTTCATGGTGCGCAAGATCTATGCGAACAATGCACGATTCCACGATGTCCGTGAGCTTAAGGAGTCAATCATTGATGCATGGCACCATGTCGACCGAAAGCTTATTGAAAACCTCTATTCGAGCATGGACAACCGCATTTTCCAACTTATTCGGAGAAATGGAGCTCCAGTAGATTACTGAAATTAACAATTCATTCGTTTTGTTGTACACTTGTTGTTGGATGATAGATTTGTTTGGTGGAACTATCATTTTGTGGAATTGTCAGAGTACCAATTTTCAAAAAAATGAACAAAAAACTTGTTCTTTCAAGTTAGTTTCCGGTGTTGACATGCAAACTGGTATTGATTATTACCTCATTTTCTATTGAGGACATTTTTGAAAACCTCATGTAAGACGGGATTTTGTAATATTTATGGGTGGAACTATCATTATGTGGAGCAGTGTATTTGATGTGGAGTGCATTACGGATAAGGTTTGGTACTGACCTTCGAACATGAAGGTGTCAACCTCCTCTCGGATATCATCGTCGCTAAGGCGATTGGCCCGCTGCATTCCAAGGAGAAGATCGAGAAAAGCCGGTTTCTTGTGCGGATTTTTTTCTTCTAGCTCAAAAACCTTCTTCCTCTTCGCAATTACCTGATATCAAATACGTTCAAGACAAAACAAGCATACATCACTTGCTCAGGTTTTTATGACTTTAACGCCAAACTTGATGCTTTTTCCGTACTTATGCGGCAAAAAGAGGCGTTCATAAGTATGTAATAGCGAGCAGAAGGATGAGTCCAGAAGAAAGAAAGGCAGAGGCGTTTCGCAGGAGAGGAGAGTCGGCATGCGAATACGCAGCCATCAGCGGGTTTTGAAAACGCCCCTTCTTGCCCTCCGATAGGGACCTGGTGAATCCTTGCAGAGCAAGTTTAGGGGTGATCGCCCTGTCCAGGCCATACCTAGTTCCTCTTAACGAAGACTGTGGAATTTCAGAGTAGTCCTGCAGTTATTACATGGGCGACGGAGGTTTTGTTTACTCATTGCTCACGTGAAATACGGGAGCACCAGGCAGACGATTCTTCCATGAGGCCGCAGGTATTCTGCTGTCTTGAACACACACCCCACGTTCGCCTTATGGGCGGAATTGGATAATTCATTTCCGTTGGTGCACCCCTTTTTCCGGGATCTGTAAAGCGGGCAAAGGGCACGATGGATAGCGCGGACTATTACTGCCAACGCTACTGGTAGAAGGGCTGCAATAGGGCGTCTGACCACATCCCAGTCAGCTGTTCCATCAGTGACGTTGGCAGTTGCCGCCTGCCCCCAGATACCGTCGCCGCTGCCAGACACTTTTTTGAAAGTTCTGCATAAGTGGAAGTGGAGTCCGACGTCGATGGCGAGCCCCTGCTCTTTCCTCCTTCTGTGGCACTGAAGGAGGAGGAGTTCAAACTTGTCCACCCGTCATCCGCGAGAGGTTTTTTCAGGTGCCCAAGGAAAGAAGAAAAAAAACACAATCAAGCACGTCTTTACCAGATCCCTCGAAATAGGGCGTGTTCGGGGTAGAAAATTTCCTTCTAAAACACAGTGGAAGGACATTGTAACGAACCTCACGAGTAAAACCTTGTACCGTGGCTAGGGCTTTCTCGAGTCGAGCTGCTTTTCCGGACAGAATCCATAACGGCGTTGGCCACAACCATGGAAGCCGTTCACGATCCCACAGTAACTCACAAACGTCTTTCACCGATCGTACATAATTTTTGTTTTGACCAGACTGGGCTCGGATATTAACACCCATAGCCGACTCTGGAATGTTGAAGTGAAACATGTCTCCACTGAGTGGGGATTAGAAAAAGCAGAACTGCTAAAGATTTGGAAAAGTACAGGTGGCGGGAATGGGCCTTGTGCTGAATTCGAGCCCTTAGCTATGCGATCCGCACGCCGTGCGTACCCACTACACTAACAAGGTTCTGCCAATCCTCCTTATCAGCTTCTGATGGCATCTTTACCAAAGCTCATAGAGGGGTGCGTCCATAAACTGGCTATCCTGTCAGCTTGAGTAGGCAGATGGCTGGCAAAGGCATACTATACGATAGCAGGATGGTAGCAGTGCAGCTTGGATGTCAAGGGGAGCTTTAAAGATAATGAGTAAGACAGAGGCAAAAAAGCTTCCGAAAACACTCTCAGCAAGACCTTTCGTGCAGTTGCCTATGAGAATTGCATGAGCATACTGCGCAGAATCATTGAGCGCCTGGAAGAGAGGGTAGACAACGAAAAGCAGGAGAATACACAGACGAACGCATGACGACGCGTTGTGCTCCCCACCCTCCCTCCGTCGTCATACCACTAGACGTCGCTTTCGAGTGATGGAAGGAAACTGGAGAGCTTTAAAAACGCTCTGGAAAGGTGGTAGGAATTTGAAAATTCAGGAAGAACGGTAGGCTGGATGGATAGGATGGGAGACTGGAGACGAAGGTTGTTATATAGGGGTGGTCCCATTTTGCACAAATTTTCCCCAGTGGCAGGACGTGCCCTGGCGGCCATATCTCTGCTTATGCGGGTCTTGCACTGGGCATCTGCCAATTCAAGGAAATGTGGATAGCTGTATCTCATGTGCCCTTAGGGATGTCCCCCCTTTCAACTCGTAGAACATGTCTATCTTAAAGGCAGTTGGCACGATAATTTGGTACTCAGCCTAAAATGCTCGCAGGGCGCTATTTAGTGGGAAAAATGGCGAAAAAACGAAGTGAAACGGTCCAAAACTGCGAAGAAAAGCCTTCGTTCTTGAAAAGCGATTTCGGACGAGTTTCCCGTAGGCGTATTGCAAATAACCGCTCCGGTAGGTGCGGCTGCATCTATGTACTCATATATCCATTCAGCACCGCAGCCGCTTCATACCAATCTCTTCGCTTCATATT